AATTAAATTAAATGTTAACTAAACAATATAAGATCAATAATGACGCAACAAAAATATAATTTTGTTTGTTATATTTTAATTAGTGAAAATAAACATAAATTAATTTAATAAAAATGTATGGAGCATTTTAGCTGTTTACAGATGCACATTTTTTAAAATGTTTATTTTTGTGCTTAAAATCATAGCGCCAGACTATAATATTATTGTTAGTTATACTTTTCTCCAAATTATTTTACAGCATATCTTAAAGTGGGAGAATACAATCTGATCTGCGTTGATTGGAAACAATATTCGACTGATATATCATACGCAGTAGCGAAGATGAGATCCAAATACATTGCACTGGATATCGTCAAGGTGTTGTTGAAGATTACGCATAATATGACGGAGGGCTGCTATGACAGTTTGCACGTGATAGGRCACAGTATGGGAGCACACATTTCCGGACATGTTGGAAAAAATTTGCCCAACCTTTATCGGATAACAGGTAACTTACAACATGATGCACGCTGTGTGTTTAAAATATCTGTGTTTGTAAAAAATTAATATCACTCCAAATCGATTGGTCAATGAATATTTCATATACTTACTTTTTCCGGTCTATCCCGAACCACGACGACAGAAGCAAGGATGTATTTTATGTTTTTATTATCAATTTATTTCAGGGTTAGATCCCGCAAAACCGATGTACGAGAATAGTGGACCAGATGACAGACTAGATATGACTGACGCGATATATGTTGATGTAATGCATACTAATGCTGGTCAAAATGGGCTTAACAAATCTATTGGTCATATGGATTTTTACCCAAATGGAGGATCAAAGCAGCCGAACTGCAGTGAAAGTTCAGATAAACGTGATTAGTTAGAATATATCAGTTAATAATTATAAAAAAAACTCCATAATTTAATATGAACACTATTGAAAGCCGATAGGTTAAGCTTTTTTCAGTCATAGATTTTCTTTCTCTAGAAATTGAAAAATGCCCATACTGCAGATTGATCGTTACATTTTTATACTAAAATAGTTTTATATTATAGTGTACAAATGTTATTCAATAGTTTCCTCTCATCATTGGATTTCAATCAATGTTTTTTTTTTAAATTTGTGTCTTGATGCTCAACGTTACAAACAGTAAAAGGTTCACGGTCCAAGATCAATGACTCGTGATTATGTTTTTTTAATACACACTTAGTCCTATCAC